TTCCTTCATTTTTTTCTTGCTTTTGGCAATGACCTTTAAAAATTGGAAAGAAGAGTGCAGGGTCCCTAAGTTTCTGAATACTCTCATATATACTGTATACATAGAAAATCAGGGTAAGGACCCCATCAGAGGTGGGGAAAAACAAATGAAATAATCCAAAGCAAATCTATCCATCAATTTACTTGTTTTTCCAATGTTTGGAGGAAGAGGTCACGTGTTTTAAGATTTTACTGAGCTAGACCCTTCACAGGCATTACTTCATGGAACCATCACAGCTACTTCGTAAGGTAGCTATTATCAGCAGACCCTGGGGACACAGCACACACGGTTCCTGCCTTCTAAGGGGCACAGGGCAGGTGTGACCAGACGTCACACAGTGTTATGTGAGGTGTGACAGAGGGAAGGTTCCATGTTCTGTGGGGAATATGTTAGGGGAGGATCGTGTTCAGGACCGTAGAGCTAGGATTCCTCTCAGGAACCCTTTTAGAAAGGAAGACTCTGGCTCTGAGCCCAAATCTAGCTGGAAAACCCAACCAGGAACATAAAGGCAGCACGAAATGAATGTGTTCAGATTAAACGGATATCTGTCACAACTCCTGACATATTACTAATATGTTTTAAATTTTTAATTTTAAATAGACATGTCTGTAAAGCTATCATGGGAAAGGAAATAAGCAGCCCAGTTGTACCACTAAGGTGCAAAGTAATTCATAGAAATTATCCTTCCTAAAAGGATGCCTCAGTATCAGGACATGGATAGTCTCGTAGGCTTTAATTTAAAAAAAACAAAACTCTAAAAGATAAGGCAAAAACTACAATTTTACTTACAAAATGATCAGGGTTTCTTGCAAGTTTCTATTGATTCTTTTTCACTAAACACAATTCAGAAGATAATTCTTCCGGGGATGGGGGGAATCTTACAATGAAAACCTGCATAAAAGTGTTTACAGCAGCTCTATTCATAAATGCCAAAACTTGGAAACAACCAGGATGGCCTTCAATAGGTGAATGGATAAACAAACTGTGGTATATCCATACAAGGGAATATTACTCAGTGATTAAAAGAAGTGAGCTATCAAGCCACCAGAGACACAGAGGAACCTTAAATGCATTCTGCTAAGTGAAAGAAGCCAGTCTGAAAAGGCTACCTACTGTATGATTCCAACTACATGACATTCTGGAAAAGACAAAACTGTGGATGTAACAAGAAGGTCAGGGTTGTCAGGCGTTACGGTAGCAGCAGAGAGAAGGGGTGAGTAGGTGGAGCACAAGGGATTTTTAGGCTGTGAAACTATTCTGTACGGTAGCGTAATGGTGGACACATGACATCATGCACTTGTCAGAACCCAAAACACTGTATGACATAAAGAACGAATGCTAATGTAAACCATGGACTTTAGTTAATAATAATATATCAATATTGGTTCATAACTGTGACAAACATACCGCACTAATGCAAGATGTTAGTAACAGGGGAAACTGTGAGGGTGGTGGTGATGGAAGGACCTTTCTGTGCTTTATGCCCAATTTTCTTGTGAACCCAAAACTTCTCTAAAAGTTAAGTCTATTAATTAAAAAATCTTAAGACAGTTTGAAGAGGAAAGAGACTGGTTAACCTGAACAAACAAAGAGAGAAGTGATTCCATATTGCAGAATGATATGAATTACTATCATCTCACACATGTCTGTTAGTTATGGTGTATTTTTAATTGAAATAATAGGTGTATAATAGAACACCAGGAGAGTAGTGTAGAATTATCTTTATTTCAGAATGGACGGGACCTTAGAGATGAATAAACAGGTAAACTCAGAAAATAACCAATCATGACTATCAGAGAAGGGAAAACTGTGTTTGGTTTCTGCTGGGGCAAACTGAATGTGTTAAAGTAAGTGTTATGGAAAAAAAACATTTATAGTTGCTAAGGATGCAAAAAAAACTCCTGAAATTTTTATTTATGTTAGTACATTGGAATGTAGCCCAAATTACTACATATGTTTGTTAGCTAAAGGGTTTAATTTAGTTGGTGCTAATCTTACACACTCTTTGAGGGTTTCTAAAGTTCTTTCTTTATCAACATAAATGATCCACCTTTTCAGCTATTTTAAAATTCAGGACAATAAACGTTCCACTGGCACATGTGAGAGGTGGTACAGCCTGGGGATTTGAGTATGGGTGGTGGAGTTAGACTGCCTGGGTTCAAATCCTGGTTCCACTACTCACTGGCTGGGTGACCTTGGGCAAGTTACTTAACCTTCCTTGGCCTTTGTCTCCCCATATGGAAAGTGGGGACAATAGCAATACTTACCTCATGATTAAATGAATTAATGTACATTTCACTTGTGCAGGGCCCGGCCCACAGTTCTCAACTGTTAACTGTTATTAATCCCAATAAACTGATTTTAGGAGACCACGCCTGATGGCAACATGAAGACACCTCTATGGTGATGCTTCTGCTACTCCTAGAATTACTGTTAACACGTTGGCCTCCTCCACTGAATCGTACTCAGTGACAGCAGGAGCCGAATTGTAGTCATCTTTGTTAACAAAAACACATTTAAGGAAATAGTTCTCAGAATAAGGAACTACACTGATTTACTTCTTACTGGGAAAGAAATTTTAATTTCAGCTAAAATTCATACTGTTGAATTGAAAACTTTTTTTTTTTTCAATTGAACTGAAAGAGGAAACCAGGTAAAGTTTTAGTGCACCATACTTTGGCACAGTGACATTACGGTATATCAATTTTAAGATCATCTGTGCCCTCAAGTATTTCCCCTGGGGAGACTGGATTACACTGGGACTTTTGGCTGAAATGCAACCATGTTGAAAAGAGAGAAAACAGCAACTGGATGTTCAAACTGAACATCAACTGCAAGTTGAGATCCACACCATTTTTAGTTGGTGAGAGCTCTAATTCACAATTCAATAGTTCCACGTAACAGATCAAATCTGCGCTTCTGGTTGTGAAAGGCTCTGGTGAACCCAGTGAGTGCAACTTCAGCTACTGTATCAAAGACTGATGTTTGTTTAATCAAGATGGGAAATAAGGGTTTATGATATCCTAAGAAGCGATAAAGTTCTTATCTTCATGCAAACTACCCAAAATAACACCAAGGGCAGCAAACTGGATAAACACCCCAAAGAACAGAAGACTGGCTTCTAAATAGATGGCCTTTTCATTTTAAGCAACAGACAAGTATTTAACTAAATTATTCTCCACCGAGACTATTAAAATGGTTTTGCTATTGCTATCCAAATGAAATTTCAGATCCACTTAATTTTAAGAAATTGACCGAAATTCAAATCACAGATTTGGTGTATTTTAAATGGTGCTGTGTGCTCTATGCGCTATTTGTGCTCATTACCACATCGAAGTGGCTGGACTCAGATGTATTAAATCAGAGATGCCAAGTTAATTTCTTAGACATCTTCATAAATAGCTCTAAAATTATGATGAGGCTTGATGATTGAAAACCTTTCCCATTTCTTATTCTTCACTGGTGACATAATTTAGATCAGATAGATATTTAGTATACAAGATTCCCAGAATTATAAAACCAGGAAGAACCCTAATGGGCATCCAGTCCAATGTCCTTACTTTCTAAGAAAATGAGGCCCAGAAGAAGCAGATGAATGTAGTAGTTAAAAGCTTGGGATCTGGAGTCAGACAGACCCAGTCTCAGATTGGCAAGTTATTCACTGCTGGACCTTGAGAAAGTTACTTAAGCTCTCTAAACCTCAGTTTCTCCATCTGCAAAATGGGATCAACAATTGTACTAATCTTTATAGCTTTGTAGTAAAGACTGGATGAGCTGAACACTCAAAAGTATTCAGCACAGAAGACTGGCACACTGTAACTACTCAGTAAATGCTACCAGTTATTATTATTATGACTAAAAACTGACTCCTAAGGCAAGTAAGCAGCAACAGAACTAGAACTTGAGTTGCTGCACGTGTCACAGTGTTTTTCATCTAAATAGTACCTGGGATAAAGATTCACTGGTCCTGACAATTTAAGTATAACTACATCAAATAGAAGGATAACTGTTTCAGTTTTTCTGCTACTGAAATGATCAAAATATTAAAATGACGCTTACATTACTGAGGTGTCAAATTCATGAAGATTCACATGTACTGAGCTTTTCATGAGCAATGGACATTACATGTTTACCTTTGTAACTGTTAAATTATATGCTTTTAAGTATTTCCCATCAAAAGGTGCTCATATAAAATAAATGACAAAAGTTAGGGTTCACTTGCTAATGATCTTAAATTTGACCCTGATTAGTTGCTATATGGACTAAGTCTGATATTCTTAATTTGTATCATCAGTCAGATATCACCATATCCTCTACACATGTGCTATGGAGGAAGAAGAATAGGGACACATGAAAGAAAAAGGTCACATGGATCTGCAGTGTGAGTGAGAATCAGTTTGGCTAATACAGACTCCTCAGAACCCAGCAGCCACCAATCACAGACATTTGGAATTGCCGTTTCTGTCAACATTGTGTCCTTATATGATTCAGCTCAGAGTTGAATGTTTTTCTTACATTAAAAAATGAATAATTAAGACGGCTCATAAGGAAAATGAGCTTTTTATAATGTGCTCTCAATATTCTCCATTTGTTAATTTTTAGTTCGTTGGCAGTCTTTTCAATAAATATTCTCAGACTGTCAAGTGGGTGCTTAAAACATTTTCTTGTAGTAAACTAAAGGTCATTTTTCTCCTAATCTGGAGAATGATCAATGTATATAAAATTACTTTAACTCTTTAAAAATAAGAGTAACTGAATTAAATAGACATCAGCTCAAACTACAGTGACATAAGCTCAAATATAAAAACATGAAAAAAACCCAAACACCTTTTTATATAACACCAATGTGATTCAGCAGACCAACAGATGAAGAAAATAGTAATCTGAAAAGTGGCAATCTGTATCCACAGCCAGTATTTAGTATTTCAGTGACTAGAAATAAAATGGTTTGGCAAACTTACCCGCATTTTTGCACAAGCATCTTGGGTTGATTCTGTCCCCCTGAGCTCTTTTATCAGCATAGAACCTAAATACTGAAATACAAAAAAAATTTAACGATTTATGAAAAACAGAATATAAATATGAGTAGCAATTTAAAAGCAGACTGTAGAAGTACTACTGGCCAGGATTCCTGGCTGTAGGCTGCTGCATAACTTTTAAAAACTAACGGTAACTAATTCTAACAAATAAATGCACGTATAGAGAGAATGCAGCAGAATTAAGCACAGTTCTGAAAGCTGTAAATTGCTCTTTATAATAAAACTGTAGCAGTTTCTAAAGACGCCATCTTTCAGATCATATTTAACTGCAAAACGGGGGCATCTAAAAATGTTTTCCCTTGTTTTTTGAGGCAGCTATGTCTGCAAAAATAAATCACATCACTATCTATGTAATTACAGGGCTGTATGAGACAGCTGAGAAGCTAAGCAACATGCACCCCATTTAGACTTAGTTGGCTGCATAGGTAATTAACGTTAGGCTGTTCTGAGGCAGAGATGCAGTTTTGGACCTTTTTCATTCACAGCTGTGTGCCCTGTGGTTGATCCACTTGAGAACAGGCTGGGAGCGTGCGGGGAGGGGGAATGTCATTCACAGTTGTTCCACAGCCCAGAGAGCTGAGTCTTTGGTGCAAACTGACACTGGAGGGGCTGAATGGGGCTGAATGTCTCCTCCCAGGAATGACCAACCACTTTGCCGTTAGGTGATCGGCTCCAATACTGCCTTGGTACAAATCGTCACGCATGCTTCAAATTCTGGCTGGGGGCGCAAATAGCTTTTAGCAAAATGTCTATTTTGTCTTTCTATCAGTTGACTCCCCTTCAACCTTTTGAAGCTTCAACGGGGCTCTTCCCATTTATCATTTTTCTCTAATTCCCTTCAAAAAACAGAAAGAGCTCTATATGTCTTTTTTAAAAGAGTGCATTAAAATAATTATTTTCCTGACATGACTGAGGAGACCCTGGCACTCTGCAAAAACTGGGTTGGGAATCAGTCCTACCGACCCGGGAGGTCTCTGACTTGAAGAGGTTGTGCAAGGGCACAATAGCAGAGGGTTTGGTCAAAGCCTTCCAAGAAAGGCTCAGGGATTTGGCATTTGAGCCTTGGAGGAGGGAGGCATTTCAATCCCCCAGTTCTGGGAAGATCACTATTGAAATGAGTCCATTGCTTCAAGATATAAGCAGTTAAAGGGGTGCAGAGAGCACAAAATGAAAAAAAAGCCTAAACTACTGTGAGATAATCAGAACATCCACATCTTCATCAAATTAAGGAAAATGATCGTGGTGAAATCCTTATCTTTTAAGGTATCAGGAAACTTTGTCCTAATTGAAACATTTATTTTAAAGAGAGACAGTTGCAATGCTCTGTCCTGGGTTCAGCCACTTTCCCTGCTGTAGTCATGACAACCACCTGCCCCCAAACCAATGGTATCTTTTGAACATCTACCTGTTCATATCATTCACAATTCTCAGCTAAGCCTGATTCTCTCTCCTATTTCAAAAAAAAAAAAAAAAAAAAGCCCAGTACTGTAATATAATCCAAATGATGACAATGAAAAGAATCTGGTATTTATATAGAGCAGTAGACCCAACGTTTTGAGATTTGTAAGTGGAAATGTCTATATGTGCTGTATTTATACTCATTTCCATTTTAAGATAGCAGTTTATCACATTTAATTTAAAATATACAACTATATAAGGAGATAAAACAGACCTTGAGCTTACAAGATTAAAAGGGTTATAAAGCTCTATTTATTTGGACTTTCTCTGTGGTGAGAAGGCTACTTTAAGAAAAAAGAGAAGGGGAAAACATTTTAGGAATTTCAGTGATGGACATTTGGGGATACCTTGAATATAAAAGTAAACAGGTTAGAAATGTACCCTCTATCCCTGCTGGTACCCAAGTACTGAATTCTGGGTAACTTACAAAAGCTTTGTAATCACACGACTGGAAGATGAGCTTTTCCGGGTGGTGTTGCCAGTACTGCACTGGAGTTGAGGCTGTGGCTTCGTTTGGAGGTCGCAAGGTAATGGAAGGTTCTCCCCAGTCTCCTGTCTGAAAATCACATTTATTCTAGAGGTAACATGAGCAGTAGGCCAAGTTCATTCCCTATAGCTGGCCTGAGTTCATCTTATACCTGTGTGCTGTAAATGTCAAATGTATATTATATGTTTGTTATGGTTTTATATGTCTTAGCATCATATTTCCCAAAGCTGAGTTAATTTTTGAGGTATGAAAGAAGTTGACCTATTCTATTTTTCGAATGACACCCTAAGGTAAGTAATTTTAAAATAAAACATGACTATATTCATAAATGATTTACTAATTTTCTGTTCCAACAGAAAAGAACATACAATCTTTGAAAGACTTTTCTGTTTTTAAACTTGACTGAAATTTTTAGTTTGAACTGCTTTTGCATTCAGAATACACAGTTCCATCGGTTTCAGTTCCCAGTTAGGACATGTACCATGTACTCTGAATAATTTTATACCTCTGGAGAAAAGATACAGTAGGTGTGACACTAAACAGAATTTTAGAAGAAAAATATACTAATGGATGATACCTAGTTTCCCTCCTCTGAATTCATTTGTATCAATACAATACTACTGTGGTTGTCTTGGATATACTCAGCCAGCTCCCTCAGAAAACCTAAAGCATGAATGAAAAATAAATATTTAAATACCAGGTTTGGTCATACATGCACATGCATGTACTTGAGGATCCTAATCACAAATACAAGCACATTCCCATATGCTGGTATATCATATAGTACATAAATGTCCACAAAGACAGACCTAAGACAGAAGGACATTCTATCATTTTAATTATCATTTTCCATGAGGTTAACCTTGATATGTTTTATTACTGTAATGGTTTAGTATGAGCATCTATAAAGTCAAAGGTCTGTGTTGGGAGATTTCTCCTTTCCCTCGTAAAGATTCTGATTGTTCAAGATTTGGTTCTTTGTTGGACATAACTCAATCTAGACAACAGGCAGATTTCCAAAGCCACTCTCCCTCTAACTTGGATTTGGTTGGTCTTACAGAATTATGAGAAATTACCTTTCTCAGGAGCTGGAAGAGTATAAAGAGGTCTCATGAGCTCCAAAACCAAATAAAACCTTGGCTAGAGACAAAGTTCCACAGAAGTACTGGCAAACGGGTTGGCACTAGGATTTCTTAAGGAGGACTTTCAAGAAGTCTGGGATAAGAATGCCAAATTTTGGATGTAGGTGTATGTTTTGGGGGAAAAAAGTCCATAACCTTCATTAAATTCTTTGAAATGCTCTAGAAAGTTCAAAAGGTTAAGAGCCCCAAGTCTCCAGGAGTAGTTTAAATAGGATGTGTGTTTTGGGGAAGACGACTACCGTTCCACTTTTTCCCTGTGCAGTTTGGACTTACATTAGGAGGAATATGAGGTGGCTGTCATTACTGGAAAGGGTTAGGCGTAGGCTTTGCCGTCTGGAAATTTCTAACTGGCTTTAAAAAACAAAAGAATTCTAGAGCCCCTTAGGAATGCAAAGGCCTTGTCATAGAGGCAGAGGAATGCACAAGCCTTTTCATGAAGCAGAGAGCCTGTAGCTTTTCTCCTTAAGATGGGTGACTCCCAACCACGGGAAGAGCAAAGTGAGCCTCGTAGTATCTCCTTGGCTTCTCACCAGAGTGTGTGACCAGTCAGAACCCCTCTGCTCGTCTCTTACGCTCTGCCCTGAGCTACTCTGTGTGTTAGTTCTGTTCTAGTTGCTGATTTACTCTCACAGGGCTCCGTTCTCCCATCTCCCGTCTGTTGATATTGTTAAGGCTTTACCTGGAATACTTACTTTGGCATTTTTAAACAGAAATCCTATGTTTTATGACCCATCCCTGACTCATTCTTGAGTTTTTTCTTCATGTTTATACAAACTGTTATTTCGTGAAAGCAATAACTGATTGCAATTAATTAATTAGGAGTAAGTTTTCCTCTGACTTCCTATTTTGATCTTTTCTTTTCCTTCTCTCTCAAATGTTTGGATCTTTATTATCTCTCCAGTCTTTATTTCAACTGGTTGTGATTTGGTCTTAAAAAAACTAGTATAAAATTAAAAATGCAGAATATGCGAATTTCCATATTATTTTGAAGCTGAGTGTAATAACCTTTAAATAAGGTAAAACTCTGGAAACATGCAGCTGTGAGTTCTTAACTAAAAGCTCTCCTCACATCTAGCAAATCATCCTCTAATCTCCCCCCATTAACCTTTTCCCCTGTTCTCCCCCCTCCCTCGATAAAGCAACAACAACATAGCAAACAGGTGTCGTACATTTAAGTCACAGGTAACACTGTTAACGGAACAACAGAAGTTGGCACACAGCTTTGTGGAATGATACAAAAGGAGCTGGTTGACCTCAAAAGATCCTTCGATCCAGTGTCCGCTGATGTGACAACCCAAAGCAAGCATCCAATCTTCACGTTAGCCCTGTCATCATTTAGCTGAGGTTCACCTTGGCCAAGCTCAATGGGCAGTTTTCAGAAAAGCCTGAACAGACATGGCAGGAGCTGGGGGTACCATGGGTTGTGGGGCAAGGGTTGTGGGGTAGGGGTGGGGATGGGTGGGTGAAGCTGGGGTTATGGGGACATTTGAGGTGTTCGTACATTAAGCATGCAAATCATATGCAAACTCATTCTCTAACTGCTGAATTAACTCAGGCACTTTTATAATTGAATTTCAATGTGAGTTCCACATATACTGAAAGCAGAATGCCGATGCAAATATTTACATCATCCACAGAAGTCGCAGCAGCCATTTTGGGAATTACAAGCCCCAGCATACAGCACCTCAGTCTGGAGATCATTTCCATCTCTTATGATAACCACTTGAAGAAATCAGTGGTGCTTCCATTTAATCTGTTTAGGCAGCGCCATCATCTGCTCTCCTATGACTCCACTTTGTCCAGAAATCACAAACCACTGCTTTGAATCCAGAGTGATCTGACACACTTTCCCTACGTGCAATGGGGGGAGATAATTATAGGGAAGAGAAACAGAATCCTTACTTCATTTTCTTTGAGGCCCAGAAAACTTTGCTCCAGTCCAAATATTTTAAAAATTCCCTACAGGGACTGAATCTACCTTTCTGGAAATAGAAACTGAATTTTGTCATACTTAGTGCTATTTCCAGAAATTCGTTTTCAAACAGAGGGAAAAGTGTTCTTAAAATTGAATTTATAAGGAAATAATTTTCCTTTCTTCCTGGAAATTCATCAACTGATTTTTTTTAACCTTAGATCTAAGAATATTTAGAAGACTCTGCTTGTACGTGTTGATTTTTCTCTTTGGAATTAATTCAGTGGGAATGGATGGACTCCTCATTACTCTATTGTAAAGGGCAGATGTGGCCTTGATCCTTGGGGTGGCATTCAGCTTCACCTGGTTGACGGACAGTAAAAACAAAAGTGCTTGGAGAACAAGGGTGCCTTAGGTCTCCATGCTTTTGGAGGCTGAATTACAGCAGGAATGAGCTATGGAGGAAAGAGGTAGAGCAGTGCTAATATGGAGCAGCTGTAGAGACCAAAAAGCCAAGAAGGGGTTTTGCCTCGCATATAAAATTATTTCGGTTTTGAAGCCCAGTATTAGCTCTTGTTAAATAGTACACTCGTATCTAGATAATATCTGTATTTCTTCAGGTAAGTTTAAAACATTAATACTTTCCCAGTTAAAAATGCTTGTTAAATATTAAATAAAAATCAAACAGACTTAAAAAGTCTTTTGCCTGAAATAATGGTTTATAATCAAGTCTTATCTTTACTGAAAAGTAGATCTAAACATGAGTTACAATGAAGCAATACTATTTAGTTAGAATAACAAAATAAAATCGAAAAAGCCTGGGGTAAAAGCCTGTCACACTGTAAATTATTAGTGACTGGCAGTGCTTTTTAAAAGGCTTAAGAAGTTGCAGAAGAGAAATTAAAATGATCCAAGGCCCTCTTACTAAGTATCTTCAGGATATTTCTTTAAAGCTTAAAATACTTAGAGAAAAATCTTTTCTTTAGGTTCACGTATTGAATGCTCTTAACAGTCCAAGAATTTGGCCATGGATTAAAAGCTTGTTTACTTGGCATATACGTATGTATTTATTTCCTTTAATATATATCAGTTAAACAGAGGAAAATGTACATTATTAACTACCCCTTCAAACTCAAATAAAAATTAACCTTCCAATATGAAAGAAAAACATAATTTGAGATTAAAGTTTTAAACGGAGAATTGATTCTGCTTAACAGGTATTTGCCAACTGCCAACTAGAAATTCATAGCCTGCTGAGTTTGAAGGATTATAATTGGGCCGTACCCAATATAATGTAATTACATTAAATGTCTCATACCACCAGCTGAAAGTATAAAACTGCTAACTGAATTTAGTTATAACACAGAAAAAAATTTGCAAAATTTCAGAGCTTTTTATTGGATGGCGGATTCCAAAATGTAGCTTTTAATCTTTTCATTATTTCAAAGAGTGGTAAAACTGCAAGGTTTTAGTTCATGTGCACCAGACATATAATTCTAAAACATCGTATCATATAGCTCTCTACCCCCAAAAATGGAAACTGAAGATATCACATATTCTATATGTTCTGAGAATACAAAGGGGAAACATCATCTATATTCTTACTTACTTCCTGAGAAAACAGTTTTGTAAGGACGTCAGTAGATAATTAAAAGCTATGATTATGACTTAGTTTCCTAACATGAACAGGAAGATATGGTGTTTTCCAGGCCTTGTATTATTCTTTAAAGAATTTTTAAAATTAGGATTTAATTGATTTTTTAAATAGAAGCTTTTAAATCTTTTCTACTAGGAACTGCTCCCACCTACCTGCTTGTAAATTTAGATCTGAATATTACCAAACATTATTCTCTACTGAGAACACTTAATGAAAAACTAAAATGATTTTAAATGATAACTGTTATTTTCAGGTTTCACTTTCAATAATTCTGACAAATGACAGAGATGGGCTACCCAAACATGTATGATATATGTAATTACATTTACTTTCCATTATCTCTACAGCTTTGAAGAAGGCTACATATAGCTCTATATTTATAAATACGTACACATGTATCTGGATGTGAATGTAAGGAAAGGTCTCCTACAAACATTCACACACACGTGAAAGCAAGATGCTGCTGCAGCTCTTTTAAAACATCTTCAAGAATAAAGAATGCTGGTTTGGTCAAATGCAGCTGGTTATCTTGAATTCGTTCCTTTTGATGATAAAGAGCAGAGATGGCCACTTCTGAACACGAAAAAGCACTGGTTAGAATTTACGTGTTCAGGAGGAACTGCTGGGTCACTGGAGCATCAGTACCAGGCAATGTATAGACACTGTGGTCCCCAAGTGCCAGAAATTCCCATGCACAGGAGGAGGGGTGTGCCTGACATGGCACCTCAAAAGAGGCCCTTTGCATGCCACCCCAAGAGCTCTGCTTAGTGATTCTCAACCAAATGCCTCAACCTCTTAGACAGCAGGCTATCCAATAAGAGAAATTTAACGGAGTGTGAAAATAGAATTGGATTTTAAAATACAAAATGGAAAAAAAACCCAGACATTAAAATGTTTCCTTTCCAAACAAAAATGAATTTTTAAAAAGTATGCAAAAGTGAACTGTGAATATTTGAATATTAAGCAGCTCAGAGTAAAACAGGTCATGATTTCACACACATTCCAAAGATCAGTTCAGTACTGTCAAGTGGAAAAAAAGAAAAAGGCTGAGAACCACTTTGTAGCTGTAATGGTGCCTCTCCTGGCTATACTCCTCCCATATTTACATAAAACTTATATATAATATCATGCAAATCATACTCAAATATTTCTCACAAGTAAAGTGCATGAACCTTTAAGAATTGTTAGGCACAAAGGACTGAATAGCCCATGGACATGGGAAATACAAAATGGGGAAGAATAACACTGATATATACATGGGTATATATATATATCAATTTACCCTTTTCCTTTTTCCTGTAAAAGCAAGTTAACGCAGACACCTGGGATGAAAGCCAAACTCACATGGGACAGATTTTAACTGTAGACTTCAAAACCAAGTATGTTTCTTATTTTAGGACAATGTTTGCACGTTAACTAGTCACAAGGCACAGTGAATGAAGTATAAGAGACAAAAGAAATTTCAGGAGTTGTTAGACATCACAAATTTTCTGCATTGCCAGGACATGGTCCCTATAGCTACTGACGACACTTTGCAACACACGACACAGCTCAAGTTCAGGAAGAGAAAAATAACCATTTGTAACCTTACATTATGAACCTGATGGATGGCTGAGAAAGGAAATCCAGCGTTCTGATTCGTCCATATCTCACAGACAGACGACTGCTGATATAAACAGAAAACTATCTCATCTTGTCAATATTTAAAACACGGCAGCTACCAAGGTAGCATCAAAGAAGGGAAGGAGGAAAATAATAAAAAGCAAAGAATCATATTTCTTAAAAAAAACAACAACGCAAAACACCAAAAAAAACTTTTAGGGTGCCCGAGGTTTAATAATTGACTTTCAAGTCATTCTTTTGCCTAAAAACACTTTTGGGTTGGCTGGAAAAAAAAGAGACCATTTATGCATTAGTATTATGTCAAGGGAAATTACCAATCCATTCACATCTTGGAAAAAGCAAACTGTGTTTTACATTTGCTGAAGAGAACGGAAATACCTTCCCTCTTCATGTCATTCGTTTCAGAGGATAAATATTTTTATGAAGTTCAAGAAGGATGGGAAAAAAATCTTTAACACAGGTCAAACATTTTAATTTTCTTATCTTCAAATGACCGAGAGCAAACAATGCAATAAAATGACTTTCCTAACTTAGTCATTGCTCAAGTTGATAAACCTAGAGAGATTTTTCCCCTCCAGAGCTCTCAAGAGCAAAGCTCTGTGATTAACAAGGGAGAAGTGTCAGTTTGCTGCCCAGCAGAGGGAATGTGTGGTGGTGGAGGGGCCCCAAGGAGGCACAGCAGGGAGGGGCTGGGGTTGGGAAGCTCAGCTCCGTCCCTCAACCAGAAACTTTGGGGAATGCCATTTGGTGTCTGTGAGCCTAATGAATCTGCTGCATGATTCGGATTCTCTACCACACCATTAACAATCTAACAACCAACAATTATTAAAAGGCAGTAACGTTTGCTTAGAACCAAATGCCAAATGAACCAACACCCTCCCAGGAGTTATAGCAGAAACCACCAGATAAACCAACGAGACTCCTGGCTTGACCTTTACAGAGTTCTTTTCCTGAACTCCATCATCTAAAAGACACCATGAAATTGAATCATAGAAAATGGCAGAACGCCTGAACTTATTCAGCTAAGCGCTGCGAACATCCCCAGAATTCACAAGCAGAGCGCACAAAGATCAGTGCAGGAAGGAGATAAGAATGGAACCAGAACACAGTTTAGAAACCCAGCAAAGAACAATATCATCAGCAAATGCGCTGTGGAAAAGAAAGCTTATCCCTGGCTAAATGTTTCCCCCACCTCCACCCTCCCAGAAACGCTCACCAGAAATTTAACATCTCTCTCTCCAGTTCCAAAGGCAGCTCCACACACACCTACATCTTTGCTTTCCATCCCTTCTGTCATCTGGATGGCTTGCTGGGGACAGACTGTCAGGTAATTGGCATTCTGTTAAGAAAGTAAGATACCTGGGGTCTGACCAAAAGGCACCTCCAACCACCTCCCACTTAAACCAGCTCTGCTATTCTCAGTTTCTGCTCTAAACTTCACGCTATTTTCTCCACAGGGGCATCTTCCCCTTCCTTCTCTGCAAAAATTAAATCTCTAGCAAGTTAAGTCTTGGGGCCATTAAACCCCCAGCCTCGTCTCCAATAGGTGTCATCTGATTTAAATATATTAATTCCATGCTTCAGCAAGACTACCATCTTAACCGGCGCCAAACATACTTCTAGGATACCCTTAAAGCACTGTCACCCACAGTTCTGAGATAGTTCTTTTACAGAAATTACATCTTCTACGACTTTCACAGACTTTTAGTGCTAGAAGTAACCCAGGGATCACCTGTCATCTGACAGATGAAGAGAAGGACATTCAGAGAGGTTAAGTGGCTTGCTGTGGTCACACAGGGAAGTGTCACAACGTGTCAGCCTGCCAGGATGGCTAGGGAGGAATGCCAGCCCAGTACTGACCTCGCCAGAAGACGGAGAGAATATTCAGTTATATGGAGGCTGTTTACTAATCCTGAAACAAATATATATAAATGGAGCCAGTTCATGGAACAGTCTCAACTCTACAGGGGTTCAAATACCTTAAAAGTTTTGTTTTCCAGTCAACTCCTCCCAAACGGGCCATGCCCAGTCCCTCCTCCCTGGTGGGCAACAGGCCAATCGACATTCTGGGCAGCCTGCATGACCTCCTGGTCACTCTGAGTTATGAAGAATTCACTTTTTTATAAAACTCCAATATCATTTATGATTCAAACTTTGCCCTTCCCCACCACACTCCAGTCCTGAGGCTTAAAGAAACCCGAGGTAGGGTGGCACGGTCCTCCTTGGATGTCCCCCATGCCAAGCTCAGCCTCCTTCATGCACTTAGCTGGGCCGGAGGATACAGGAGAAGGACAAGGGCCTCTCTCTTACTTGACAGTGGCTGAATTCTCCCTGCTGGTTGTCACTGCTTCTCAGGGTAACACTAACTTGGTCTCTGATCCTTCTCATAGGAGCTGCCCCGCCCTGGGTTCTACCGTATCTGTGGAGGTTCTCTGGAGGTCTTTGCTGGGGAGGGATGTCCTTACTGCACAGTCCCTGATGTGAGAAATGTGGCTCTAGCCTGACTTTCCCCAACCCCATCCAGCCTTCTTAGGTAGGACACGTGCAGGCCCCTTGGGTGGGATGCAGGGGAGAGTGCACGAGCCCCGCCTCCTGACTGCTCATCCACAGCACATATATACATCCTTGCCACGCAGAGCAGTCTGCTCTGTGACCAATCCTCCTCTCTGCCAGGACATCTCCCTCCAGTTCTCTCTTCCTCAGTTCAGGTTGGTTTATCTGCATCTGCTCCCAGAAGTTCACCTAGGGAGAGAGATACCAGTTTCCCCTTCTGGCTGGTTCCCTCACTTCGGGTGAGCATTCCTCTTGGAGACCTTCTCCTTAGGCTTGGGTTGCATGGGGATGCACTCTCTCCCCTCCCATGGGAAGGGAGGAGAAGCCTCGGTTCTTTCCACAGTGGCTCAGACAATTCTCTGCCCCCCTGGCCCGCCCCCAGCACCAATCTTCTGACTCTGTGGACAGGAGGCTGACTGTGCAGGGCAGGATTCACCACCTGTTGGTAAATTCCAAGTAGGGTGTCTGGCTCCCTTATCAGCAGCTCTCTCTTTAGAACGTGCAATACTTAGTACCTACAGGCAAGTTCCTCCTTAGCATCCTGTTACATGAATATATCTTCCAACAGTCACAGAAGTTACCAGAAAGTTAAGGAGGGAAGAGAGGGTCTTGTGCCATAATTATTTTTATTTTTAAAACTCCATATAAGATTTTCTCAGTGAAGAAATAAAACCCACCTCTAGTCATATACACTGAAGAGAGTTCCCATGTGGCTTATATACCTTTTAAAGGTGTTACAATAACTATTTTTCACTTATAAGGTATGTTCAAACTTGATAAAGGAAATCCTCTCTCATTTCCAATAACTATGTGCCTCAGTGCAAATGGTAAAAAGTCAGATTCAAAAAACAGAGTTTAAAATAAAGGCAGTTAATTGTATTTTAGTTATGGAGATGGTTTTTTAAAAAGCTGATAACATGTCAGACATCACAGTAATTCTGATGGTAGCAAAGACTTTACCAGGCGCGTAAGAGCAGTAGCTTAAGGTAGACCAGCTGTAATTGGTGTCCTCATAACATGAAATGGCTCTTCTTCCAGACACGTGGTTACCAGGCTGAGTGTTGGAATGAATTTTTTAAATGCAAAAGAGCTTCCCCTGCAGAATTTCATTACATTTATGAAGATAATACTTCAGGGTACAACATGCATTGAAGTACAGAGTGTTCAAAAGCTTTTAGAAAGAAAATAGCAGTGAGAAAATTTCATCTGGGGCCCCAATTCCTAGAACAGAAGTGATTTAAATCTAAGTTTTAATTAAACTTCAGAATGTCCTCATGTGTAAAGAAGAAGAACAATAGCACTTGGCCTGCTTATTTCATCAGGTCGTCGTGTGGCTCGTGCTAAGTAAGCTTCACGCGAGAGGGAACTTTTTCACATCTCTGTTTCTAGGACCTGGAATACAGAAGCCATCAAACGTATTGACTGAGTGAATGGAATCACAGAATGTGTTCGATATTTCTTGGCAAATGGTCAAGCACCATAGGAACATTAATTACTGCTCTTCATTATCACGTTTAGTTGATCTACTTTGTTGTTGCCACTTGTGCCTTCAGTAAACTACGTCACTGACAACACTCTTCTGGCAAAATGCACCAGAGATTAACCTTGCAGACTTCTTGTTAGAGATGGTCTCGTTTTTCCTGATAAAGGCTGAAAAAGCACCGCTGACTTTGTTGAAGAGAGAGGCACACCTACATGCTAAAGAGCTGCTTGTACGAGCCTGGAAACAATTCTGTAAAAGGATGGTAAACACCCTTTGCAATTTCATTTGCTTATTAATTTTCTCTCAGTTCCTTTTCCTCATACATTGTGAAGCTTAATTTAGTTGATCTGAACTTGAATTACCATGAAATCCAAATAAATGGGGGTTAAGGTATAGCGATCTTAGAACTGAGATATCAATAATTTAATGTTTATTTCTTTGGTGATGAAGTTAGCACACTTTTAGAGGTACACAATTTTATCTTGAGTTCAGACCTCTCTCCTGATCCTGGAAATGTTTTCTTAAAATGCAACACACATATTGCTATTGTTACCATTATGTATCTCAGGTTACCACGAATACAGTCCAGAAAATACCACACATTTGTATTCAAATCTAGTAACAAACTAAAAAGCATATTACCTATATTCAAAGTCTTTCTCCTAAAGGTTGACTTCTTTTTTGCTCAGTTGGTAGCAACCCAGTAATTTACAATAAATTCTCTCTCCTTCACCGTCTGTTCTCCCTTCTTTACTGGAACATTCCCTGTAAGTACTGAAACATCTTCCATTAAAAGCAAACAAGCCCCTTTCCTTGACCCAACATTCTCCCCGAGCTCCTGCTCCGATTCCTGTTCTTTAAGAAGCAAATCCCCCCAAGAAGTATCTATATGGTCTCTGCTTCCCCTTCTCCCGTCCTCACCTGGGCCTACTCTGCCGAAACTGCTTTTTTCATTGTGTCAAATCCAACTGGTCATTTTCCTTGACCTCCTGACACTTGATCACTCC